TTTGTTTTTAGCGACTTTTTTTGTGTCGTTCCTGAGGTGAAAATATATAGTTCTGTACAGCGTAACTGGTAAGTGGATCGACATGCACCCACAGTTGCAAAAGTAATATCTTTTGTTTGTTTCTTCCTTTCCTTTATGCAGTAGTATTACTTTTCCCTCTAACAATATGTTTATTTTTTTGTAACAGGCATGGCACTTTGACTTGTGGAAATTGGCTTATGAGGTGGTGACAAAAATGAGGATTTTTTCATTTGGCGTTTGCGTTATGCAAAAAGTTCTATAACTGGGAATAATGATAATACTTTAGTTGATTTATCACTGGACGTAATTCGTGAGGAATAAGATTCTATTTATTACTTTGGGGCAAACTTTTTGTGTTTTAATGATCAAAGTTGTTTTTTTCACCACTCCAGGCTGTATAAAAGTTCTGTAAAAACTTTGGTTCATTTCGGAGTTATTAAGCTGCCTCTTTTTTGAAGTTTATTATCTGATTAATGTGTTGTTTGTACTGGATGTAGATTTTTTTTAAGTTAGAATTTTTTTTAAATATGCTGTTCTTTTCGAAGTACTGGGTCGCAACATTTTGGAATTGATTTTACTTACGTTTTTTTGTCCTCGTTGGTTAACATTGGCTATTGCAGCTTAACTTGGCAATTTTTATTACATTGGTTGCAGTCGGTGCTCCGAGCTCAATATGTTTTTCTCAATGAACGGCTCAGGCCGTTCGCGAGACGGGCCTGTTGAGACAACTCTTTACGAAATTCTCGGGGTTGAACCAAATGCAACGAACGAAGAAATCAAGAAAGTTAGTTTATGATGAAAATAAAAATGGAAGTTTTACATCATTGTGTACCTCTAGGAAGAATTCTTTATTTATTGATCTTGGTTGTTTTTGGTAAAATAATAAAGCAAATGGTGTTTACCTGTAGAATTTTGTAACGCTGAGCAGGACAATTAATGTATTCGGATATTAGGTAGTTGGAACACTTTGAAAAGTTCTTATGCCTTTCTTCGCCATTTTTTGCATAGGCTTGACAGGTTTAGTTCAGCGTTTAAGAGCATGGGGGAAATATTTTCTAGAGGAATACATGTGGGAGGGTTCGTGCTCAAGTTGTAAAAAAATTGCTTGGACCCTACCCTGTCACAGAAAGGCGCTGATTAGAGGAATTTAGGTGAAGGGGCTTTCTTGTTGTTGGGCACGCTGAAGTTTAGTAAAGACTTTGTTTTTTCAAACATAGTTGGCCAGTACATTTTATCTTAAAATTATTTAAAAAGGAAGAAATATGAGCGATAGGTGAGCCTTGAAAAAATGTGGGGGGATAGATCAGTAGCAGAGCAGGAGCTTGGTGATCCCCGTTTTGAAGTACTTTTTCAATGGGGAAGGTGTTTTAGATTAGGTTTTTATATAAAGTATGTAGTTGTGAATGTGTTTTTCTCCTTTATGCTTATTTTATTTTTGATCCAAGAACGATGTAATTTGTTTTAGTCGTATCGTCAGTTGGCAAAAGAATATCATCCTGATAAAAATCCAAATCATGGTGAGAAGTTCAAGGAGATTTCTTTTGCTTATGAAGTTTTAAGCAACCCTGAGAGAAGGGAACTGTATGATGAACGAGGGCTGGATGGGATTAAGAGTGGAAGTATGTTTGTCAGTTTATATAGTGTTTGAATAGGATGTTATGATCTGATGTATTGTTACTTCAAATCAGTGTGTTATTCTTATAGAATTTATGACCAGATGGATTGAAGTTTTAATTGCTTATAAATGACAAGTTCAGGCGGCGGCTTTTCCGGAGCTGAAGATTTGCTTTCTTCGTTTTTTGGTGGGACTGGATCCTTCTTTTTTCCTGGGAGTGGAAAACGTCGTAAACGTGGACAGGATATGGTGCATTTCCTTCATGTTTCTTTAGAAGATTTATATAAGGGTAAAACTTCACGACTCCAACTTTCGAGGCGGGTGATATGTTCGTCGTGTAGGGGGTAGGGTTTGTTCTTTTTTGTTTTCTTATTAATTTATTTCCTTTTTCGGAGCTGACCAGAAGTTTTAACATTTGGTGAGAAGTATTGAGTTTCTAGTACCGGCACCAAAGACGGTTTGTCTCGTGAATGTACAGGTTGTAAAGGCGCAGGAATAAAGACTGAATGTCAGAGACTTGGAGTGGGCTTGATAAGACAAATGCAGGTGCAGTGTTCGGAGTGCGGTGGCTCAGGTTTTTTTAATTAGATTTATTCTGTTTTGTTGGATTTTTTAAAAGATTTTCTGAAGTTTTACACCTTTTGTTTTATTTTTTGATTAGACTTCTATCTATTGCATGCTCTAGGTTCAAGAATTTCCGAAAAAGATCGGTGTAAACAATGTAAGGGCGATAGAACACTTAGAGAGACGAAGGTACTTGAAGTACATATCGAAAGAGGGATGCATTCAAGACAAAAAATCTTTTTCCGCAAGGAAGCCGACGAGGAGGCAAGGACTTTTAAAATTTTTTTGCATTCAACACGATTCTCTGTTTTGATGACGTGTAGTCATGGTTTTTGAAGTGTGTATTTGGGTACTGTGTATTGCATTGTCAGTCTTTGGAATCAGTGCTCAAGGTTTGAGTTTTTAGCCAGGTTATGAAACTGGTGACGTGGTAATAGTCTTGGAGCAAGATGAGCATAAAGTGTTTCAACGGCAAGGGGATGATTTAGTGATGGTGAAGTGAGTTTTTTTAATGGACTTCTGTGTTTGCTTTTGTATTTTTAAAGTTGGTGGTATGTTAGATGAAAGTGGCTTTTTTGTTTCATTTAAATCATTGCAAATGCTGAGGGTGATTTAGGAAAATATCTCTCTGTGATGCGTTGTGTGGCTTTAAGTTTGTGGTAAAACATTTGGACGGATCTTCCTTGCTCATTGAGTCTCCACAAGGGGAGATATTGGAGCCAGGTAGGTAGTTGCTCTCTGCCTCTTCTTTCATTAGGAATTTTTGCCTCAATTATTTCTTAGACGTATTGTTGTTCAAATATCTGTTTGGATAGTCCTTATTTGATTATGGTTGCTTTTGTATTTTGGCGGATTTTTTTGGTTTTTTCCAGTTCTACTTTGTCCTCGAGACATTTAGTTTGATCTGCAAAGGTTCGATAACTAAAACGGTGTTGTTTAGCTTCTGACAGAAATGCTTTTAATGCCGAGTGACTTTTCTGAAAAGGAAGTTTTCTAGATTGCATTAGAGGTGTACGTGGACAGGGTATGCCAATACATGGGAACCCGGAAAGCCGCGGAACTCTTTTCATTAAATTTGAAATTGAATTTCCAGACGTTCATTTTCTTGAGAAGAAAGAGGATTATGAGGTTAGTTTTTTGCTTTTAGTCTTTCTAATGTTAAATATACTAGTGAGCCATTTCAGCGATTTGATTGGACAATTAATAACTTTTTTGTCTTTTGAGTTCTTAGGTTGTGTTGTGTTGTTCATTATTCATATAATTCGGGTTGCTATCATTGACAGTTGCTTATTATTTTCAGTTGTTGAGAAAAATACTTGGTGGGGACGAATGGCCTGAACATTTGCCTACGGGAGAAAATGTTGAAGAGGTTTCTTTAATGCCATTTGACGAAGGTCGTTATGAGAGGCGTGGGCACGGCAGCGGCGTAAGAGAGGCGTACCAGGACGACGATGATGATGAATATGAAGGTTTTCCAATGGGTGGAGGTGCTCAAAGGGTGCAGTGCGCTCAGTCCTAGTTCGAACTGTGGAAATTATTCAGTAAAAAATTTTTTAAAAAGTTACTATATTTTGGCTGAAACATTGGCGAAAATTACTCAGAAGTAGTCGGCCAAATTCTGGCGAAATATTTCAATGCTGGTTGATGGAAGAGTACTGTTTGTGATATGTGCTCCTTCTATTTCTTTTTTAACTGGAAACCATTATATGGTTTTTGAGAAAAAATTGTACTTGCGGTGACGTTGCTGCAGGTTAGCACAGATTTCTGTTTTGCCGCGGTTGTCAGTACTCGTGATTTTGTTCACGGTTCTCGTATAAAAGTTTGAAATATTATATGTTATCATGTATTTCTTATTTCTCTTTCCGTTCGTAGTCGGTTATTTCTCTTCAATTCTATTGAGCTTTTTTCACTAAGGTCATTATTTTACTATTGTTTTCTGTTGATATATCGTAGAAATTTGCAAGTTTGAAGAAGTTTTTAGAGCTTTGTGTAGCTTTGAAGATGTTGGATTTTTAGTTGGTGAGGTCTTCTATCGAACAGTCGTGGGAATGGGTTGTGTAGGGAAAATTAAAATGATAGCTTGTAGTGTGTTTGGGAACTCCAACAATCTTCAACGTTTCTACATTTTGGTTTTGGTGTTCTCCTTGTGTGGTCTTACAAAATTTTACCCGTCGTTCTGATGCTTTGGTTTTTTTATGACATGAATTATTCTTATAGAGTTTGGTAGATGTTTCTGCCTCTTTTCTGATACTCGCGAAGTGAACTGTGAAGGTCGTGATTTCTACTGTTTTGGCAGTGTGGTTTTGAAGGAGAGTAAACTGAGTCCACGTCAGCTGTTTGGTGCTTGCGTACGGTGTCATGTGCTTGGTTTTCTCACCGGGTTTTACTGCGCAGTTCTTGAGTGGAAGTTGGAAGGGGGGGGGAAGGGACAGAGTGGACAATAGGACGGGTCACTTGGGTGGTGAATATTTTTAGAGCGGTACTGGTATGGCTGCGTAAATGGGGACCTGCAATTTTGAGAGAAGATGTTTGGAGAAGGACAGGAGGTTGACGGACGTGAAGTTGCGTTGAGTCGCTTGGTTGTTTATTGAACAAGCTGGGGAGGTCTGTCTCGTATGCTGCAGGTTGGTTGGGGATTCTTCATTTTGTGCTCTGTTTTTGTCATAGCAGCTGTGTCCTTATTTGTTACTTAGTTGTGGGGCGACTTATTTTCTTGTTGGATGCAGGTTCCGCTGTTTATGAGTTTTACCACTGAGGTTCAGGGGCGGTCCCGCTGATTGCATATTTTGAGTGACGACTGTTTAACGGGAGCCGAGAATCGTTGTGGTATGAGGCAAGGGACATTTTCAACTGTTTTGGAAAGGAATGAAAATATATTTTCTTTACTGCTTCTCGCGATTAAGAGGGTTTGGGTTGGACTTAAGTGCGGTTTAGTGAAAATAGTTTCTTTAAGAGGAGGTTGAGCACTGGTTAACTGTCACATTTACTATATAATCATACTTTAAAGCAGTCGTAAACTACAATTTTCGCTTGTGGTGACAATTTTGAAGTCATGTTTGTTCGTGTGGGGATGAAACAGCGGTTTATTTTCGAAAATATCTATCCTTCGAGTAAATGGCCTTTGAAGACTCAAAATTACAGAGTTGAACCACTGAAATACTGTTGACAGTGCCGCGCAGATGGCAGTAGCTTTTTTTTTTGTAGCGCATAAAGCTATTTCTGAGTCAGGTTACGACTTTTTAAATTCTAAAGGCAGCATTTGAATTTCCTTCATTTTGTGGTATTGTGTACTTTTCCATGTTTCTTATGGCCAAATTTATTGGTTTATTAGGAATATTAGCTGAATTGCCTGCTGTAATGCTGCTCTTTCATTATTATGATTACTGAACTGTACCTCACCATCTTGCAGCGGGCAGAGCAGGGTTTTACAGATATAAGACAAAAAAGTTGCTCTCGTATTCTCTGTATCTGAATAAGCGAACTGCGTAACTCTACTGTTCTAGTATAAAGTGTATTAAAAACGTCTATTAGCTTAGGCGTAAACGCTGTTTCACTTGAACGTTCACTAGTTCGTTATCAAAGTTTAATTCGTGGATCATGGGAGTAAGAAGTTTATGAAGCTTATGCAGTTAGCCAACTTATATTTTACTGAGCACGCTGGGTGGAACTCTGTTTTGCCCTCATTCCCTCAGCTGCGTGGGGATACTGAATTGGTCCTTTGTAAGCATCGTTGGTATGAAAGCAGTGTTAATTTTTAAGTTATAGATTTTTTTTGATGAAGTTTTATGCAGCATTCTATAGGATTAGATTTTTTATGGAAATTTCAATGGGGTTTTGGAGGATACTTGCTGACATTGCAGTGAAATGATTTTCTAAATCAGCAATAGATTTTCAATGAGAATGATATTACATTCGAGTCGGATGAGGTATTCAAGTGAAGTAAATAAGTAAGCTAAAAAATTTCTCAACGTATAACGTGCACTTAAAATGGAAATACACTCGGTAGTTGTTATTTGGACTACGGCAGGAGATTTGGCAGTTTAATGTAAATTATTTCGGAATAGTGTTTATTTTTTCACAGCACATTAGAGGTCAACTTTCTCTGTCAAAGCCGTACCCTCTCAGTGAACTGTAAACTTCGAGTTGTGTTCCGCTACAAAAATGGCGAGATAATATTGCACCTAGGAGTTTATAATCACTTACCAAACACTCCAGGAGGTTTGATCAATTAGGGATATTTACATCTGCAGGCGAGAATTTTTGCAGCAGGCTCTCACTTCCGGTTAAAATATATTATTTTAAGTGAAATAGATTGAGAAGTGTACTTTTAGAAATCTCTACCATTGGAATAAAGTAACAGTCACATTTCACATTTCTGAAAAGAGGCCGACGGATATACATAAAAAGTCTATTTTAAAAAA